AAAGCCCCAGCAGGGCTCCAATGGTACTGCTGGGCTGCTATTTGAAGAGACCGGGCCATTTCCCAGAGCCTGGTGTGTCAGTTTATGCTCTGAACTTAACCTCACAGGCACTGCACAACAGAGCCTTGAGGGTCTCGAGTCCAGAGGCAAAAGAAATTGTATCTTTTTATTGGCCCATTTAAAGTGTGTGTGGCCATTTCAGAGAATCAAGAGAACACAGCAGCGCCTGGCCACACCAGGCCAGGCTAACAGATGAGGGGTTCAAGGGACTTGTCCCAGCCCCTAGGGGCTGGTACTTACTGGGCTCTTGGTTCTCCCCCAAAGGATTAGGAGCCCCTGGCCTATTCTGTATTTATTAGTGGCAGCTCTGATGCTGAGGCAGGGCCCAGGTTGGCAGCCCAGTCAGGATGTTCCCCTTTGCACTGCTGACCCTGCCTAGCCCTGTAGGTGCCTGGCTCTCCTCCCCTCTGAACCCCAGGACTAGGGTGGGCAGGCAGCGCCGTGCTGGGCTCCACTCTGCTCGTTCTCTGCCTTTCATCTTCTATTTCAAACAGACAAACGTGAAATTACTTCTACAGATTAAAGGGGAGAGCGCCTCAGTCATTCCTTATGGCCTCACTAATGGAGGGGGCAGGGCCCCCAAATCTGGAAGTAGAGAGAATTGTGGAGTACACAGCCTTCACCTGGTGTGCACAATGTATGTGTGTGCCTGCGAGAAGGAAAGAGCAAAACCCCTACTCCCCACCCACAATAGATTGCCCTGCCTAGTGTGATATGGCTGGGAAGGCAGGGCTTCTCTGGGAGCAAGGTCAGTGACCTCTAGGGGATTGGGCAACCCTTCTACCTGCTCCCTTTCAGAGCCCCCAACAGACAGGCCTGTTTTCTCCCCAGCCTAGCACAGGGCCACTAAGAACTTCCTTCTGGAGGAGGCTGGGCCAGGGGGATGGACTTGGGGCCTAAACCTACCCTGGACAGCAGCAGTGCTTCTTGCTGGGGGTTCACAGGAAAAGGCTGGGTGGTAGAATGGAACCCCCCAGCTTCCTTCAATGCCTTCAGCCTTTAGAGAAGACAGAGGCTCATTTGGGGAGTGGGAGGTTTAAGGGTCAGCAGCCTAAGTAAAGAGGGAGGCCTGGGGCAGAATCTGTCTTTGGACATATGGCTGGCAGCCTTGCCTTATCTGCCTCAAGCTCTTTGCTGAACACTGCCCGGGGCCATGAAGTCATCCCTACACCAGGCCTGGGCCTTTTACCTGAGTGCCCCTGTGGAGAGTCCATGACCCTGTTTTTCCTGTCATGCCAGGAAGGAGGGTCCAACATCTTATAGGTAAAGGAAGTGGAGGTATTGGGCCCAGAGGGTGCCGCCTTCTTCATTCCCCCAACATTCTGCAGAAACTCAATACTTCTACCCATCCCCTAGCCACAGGGATTAGCGGGTGCACTTGATGTTGAAGGGTAGTTGCTAGGGCCAGGAGGCCCCCCTACATGGTTGCTAGGGGTCTGGCATGGGGCGAGGGGTCTGCCCACTACCGCGGTCACGGAGGGAATTACACAGTCACAAAGAAATTGTTCTTCTCAGTAATCTGCTCCTGGCCACCGGGTGGGGTGAGGGTGGGGGAGCAGGCTGGAGCCCAGCAGGCTGGGGGCTGTGATCACAGAGGCGTGCTAGCCCCAGGCTGGGGGCCAGAGGGCCGGGAACACCGGGGACCAGCATGCTAAGCTGCTTTCTCAGCGATTTCTCTCCTCGGACACAAAGGTGTTTACTTATTTTAACATCTCCTGGGACTCCCCTTCTCCCTTTGTGTGGTCTTTATCCCCAACGAGGTTTGAGCCCCAGATTACAGGCAGGAATTAAGGCATTGGTCTCAGGCAGCTCAGAACTGCATGACCTGCAGGATCAAGGAGTATAAAGTAACCAAGTGTGTGCACGTGAGGGGGGCCGACCCCTTCGGCAAGGCCATTCACTGCCCTGAGAAGGAGCTGCCGGGTGGTGGGTGGGCAGTGCAGGTGTGGCTGCAGAGCTGCTGTGTCCATCCCATTGAGGCTTCAGCTGGGGGCTGAGATGCTGGGGGAGGGGTGGGCACTGGTGCTGTTGGGAGTTTCCTAGCTGAGGAGGGCGGGCCGTACATCCCAGGGGCCTGATGCCAGCTGCAGGAGGAAAGAATGTGCACAGCCAAGGTGGGGCAGCCTCTTACCCTCTGTCCTTCCTCTCCCCAGTGGGCAGCTCATGACACACCTGGGCAGTGACTTTCCACCAGGGGCTGGGGTGCTAGATGTCATGTATGAGTCCCCTTCCACACTGCTGTCCTGTGGCTACGACACCTATGTTCGTTACTGGGACCTCCGCACTAGTGTCCGGTGAGTGTGCTAGCATGGGAGGGAGGATAGTGGTGGGGGCCTGATGCCCATCCCAGTCTTCCCTTCAGTCCTGGGTCAGCCCACGGGACAAGAACAGAGAATCCATGTCAGGAGCTGGGAAGGAAGGGGCCAGTAAGGTCACATCAAGCTTAGACTCTCTACTCTGGTCCCTGTGGCCTGGGAAACTGTGGCCAACAAGCCCTGATAAGGACAGGCATTTCTCAGAGCCTCCCCAGCTATCAGGTATGGTACTGTCCCTCAGTATTCTGCCCCAGCCTTTAAGTAAGGCCTTTATTCTCCCCATCACAGGTTCTATGACATGTATCCATACCATGTGAAAACACAAATGAGGGTGTTTGCTCTATGGTTAGGGCTTGGAGAGTGTCCTTTAAAGAGGATGCCTTCTCCTACTTATGTTTGATCAGTTAAGAATCTCTCCTCCAGTCCAGCGTGGCTCTGTAACCCCTACCCCACAGCTCTTCTAGGAACCTGAGGGAGCTAGGTCGGGCACTGAACCCCACATCTCCTCTTCCTGGACAGAAAATGTGTCATGGAGTGGGAAGAACCCCATGACAGCACCCTGTACTGCTTGCAGACAGATGGCAACCACTTGCTGGCCACAGGGTCCTCCTACTATGGTGTTGTGCGGCTATGGGACCGGCGTCAGAGGGCCTGCCTGCACGTAAGTATCCTGCCCACCTCATGCCTCTGGGATGCAGGACTCATTATGGGCCACATCTGGTAGTGGGTGATAGGGCCAAGGACATGCCTAGGCGAGGGCTGGAGGAAGCCTAAATGGCACATGTCCCTGTTTCACCAGGCTTGAAACTCTAGATTGGGGAAATCCCCATTTCCCACTTGGAAAGTTCTTACCTCTTCATGTGACCTCCCTTCTAGGCCTTCCCGCTGACATCTACCCCACTCAGCAGTCCCGTGTACTGCCTACGGTTCACCACCAAGCATCTCTATGCTGCACTGTCCTACAACCTCCACGTCCTGGACTTTCAAAACCCATGACAGGCCACCCTGCCTGCCGGCCAGGGGAGTCAGCTACTCAGGGACCTCTTTTGCTTGGAGGGTGCAGTGATACCTCCTCCCACCACCCCTACTGTGCTCCTAGACTTGTTGCCACAGTGTTCAGGTGTCTGAAGCTAGAGGCCATGGCTCCTGGGGTACCAGGGCTCACCTAAGGATACAGCCCCTTCCAGAACCAGTGGAGGCACAGGACCTGCTGCTCTGGGAGAATGCAACTAAACCTGTGGCCTTGCACCCATCTTACCAGAGCAAGGACCTAGCCTGGAAAGGCCAATCCTGCCACCATGTCTTCATAGGGCCATGGCAGCCACAGAGTGAGGTGAGACACTCTAGCCTTCGCAGCTGGCCCCTTTCTGCCCTTCCCTGGAAGGAGAGGTGAGGCTGCCAGTGCTCCTGCTGGCACCAACCAATCCTCAGACTCCACCTTTGACCAACCTCTTAGGGCTGTGAGCTCATTCCTAGGACAATGTGACCTAGTTTTGCTTTGAAGCCAAGAAAGGACAAAGGGAACCTAGCAGTTTTGAGTGAGTTCTGAGCTAGCCCTACCTCAGGCCAGCTGTGGAGATATGCTATTCTTTTCATTTTTGTAAAAATAAAGCTTGATTGTTCACAGACCTTGTTCTTCACTGATGAGGCTGTTCTAAGAGGTCGAGACCAGCTTGGTGGCGCTTCATTCTTTATGCCAAAGAACAAAGGTGTCTTCTTCCTAAAGAACTCCCACCGACCACCTGCCCTTCTAGCCTCAAGGGAGGACTGTGGAAGGGCTTTAGGATGCTGGGGCATAAAGCTGTTGTCACCCTTCTTTCACCCTACCTCAACACACAGCAACACTGTGACCCTTATTTTGGCTTTTCACCCACAATATCATAACATCCTATGCTCTATTTTCAAGGTTTCTGCATTTTAAAAACTTCCCCCTTGCCTACATCTACCTTAGGGACCTACCTTAGGAAGTTTCTTCTAAACTACTAAGCTACTATTTTGTTGTGATGGAACTGAGGATTGAACCCAGAGGTGTTCTAGTTACATCCCCACCACTTTTTGAGACAGGGTCTGTTGTCCAGGTTGGCCACAAACTTATGATACTCCTGTCTCGGCTTCCCAGGTAGCTGAGATTGCAGGCATATGCCACTGGGCTCTGCTCTTCTGGGCCACTCCTACAAACCAAGCTAGAACAGGGGCCTACCAGCCCAGATTCCCTCTGAGTTTATGAAGACAGGTTGGGGAGACATCCTGCCCTACTGAAGTCACGGGCTCTTAAGCTCTTCTCCTTTTAGGTTCCCAGGATAGAGAAGGGAATGCCACACCAGCTCCCTCTGTAGGGAGAGCAATGGGGCCCAGAGGCAGGCAGCCTACAGAGGTGGACAAAACAACAGTCCATCTGCAATAACTCAGAATGACTTTACTCAGGAAACAAGACCATGAACAGGAGTTTGGCATAACACCTGGACCAGTTCCTATAGACTGTAGGTAGCTCCAAGGAGAGAGGAGGTTGCCTCATGCCAGAAAGGCCCAAGCCTGGAAGTCAGATAGCATCCTCCATGCCAGAAGAACAAGGCTGGGAACCAGCTACTGGGTCTTACAGTCCCCATCACTGTGGGCCGTCTTTACCTTCTTTAGCTCCTTTTGTAGCTCTGACTCAGCCACCATGATTTCCTTTGGCTTCTGATACTGTGGACAGATCCAGGAAGAGGACTTAATTCAGTTAACTATCTCCCTCCTTCCATACCCACACTTGGGCCCCTCTGTGCCCTTACTGTATATATAAGGAACTTGAGATGTACGGGGGTCAAATTATTTACTCAGGTCATGTGGCTGGGTAGGAGCAGACCTTAAGCCAGAACCAAAGTTCTGAGGTTTCTGCCACTTTCTTCATCACCCTTTGCCCTCTTCTAGTTGTGAACTGTGTGACCCTCCTCTCCCCGGGCTGAAATGGAGACACCCAATCCCTAGCAGGGACTCCTAGGGAATAGGAAATGAGCAGGGAAAGAGGAACCTCTCCCCAAATATAGTGGCCAAGAAGTCTGGGTAAATCTTACAGAGATTATCAGGGTGCAGTTGGCATGAGCAAAGCTCAGCAAGGAATCATCCAGAGGTAGCTGGTATCTGTCTAGGTCAGGAATGGAGAACTTCTTGTAGTACCTGTAGGGACACCAAGAGGCCATTGGGGCACCTAGCAAGGCAACCCCAACAGTTGGGCACTAGGCTTCTCTATAGTTCTCACCCACTTTCCACAAAGCTGGAAGGGAGGAAGGATTCTTACCAGTTAGAATGGCATGATTTTTGAGCTCACTGGCACTGGAAAGAAAAGTATGCCCCACCTTATGTCCAATCCAAAGAAAGAAGACCAGAACTAGTCATAATTCCATGATTAGACCAAGGGCCTGTATGACTCATGTTGCAGAATCAAGACTCCCAAGACAGGGCTGGGGATGTGGCTCAAGCGGTAGTGCGCTCGCCTGGCATGCGTGCGGCCCGGGTTCGATCCTCAGCACCACATACCAACAAAGATGTTGTGTCCGCCGAAAACTAAAAAATAAATATTAAAAATTCTCTCTCTCTCTCTCTCCCCTTCTCTCTCTCTTGCTCTCTTTAAAAAAAAAAAAAAAAAAAAAAGACTCCCAAGACAGGTAGAAGCCTCCTGGAACACACACACAGCTCACGCAGCTTGGGACTCCTCTGCACCCCAAGCCTCATAGGCACACCAGAAAATGGGACACATGTCCTACAATGGACAATAAGGACATCTAAGGCCATCCCCCAAAGCTGGGGCCCACAGTTGCCATTTACATGGTATTTCCACTGAAGACCCCAGATACCTTTTCCTCTTTGGGGGTCTTTCAAGGCCTTGTTAGCCTGACACTACTTGTTAAGTCAGAGAAGTGTGTTCACAAGGAAGAAGCTCGCTGGGATGACAAACCATCTCCAGTTCTGGACTTTCCACCTTGCTGGCCTTGAGACCCCACCCCTCCATTTTCACACCATACATGGTGCCTGTTATCTGCTAATGATCCCTTTTAGTTTAAAAAGAAGGAAAGAAAATCAAGCCTGTAATGTGTATGACTGAACTTCAGGGAATTTGCCCCCTTCGCTAAAGAAGAAACCCCGCTCAAAGATGAAACAGCATGCTGCTTTTCCAGCTAGTTGTCAGTGGAGTCAGGGTTAGAGGAAAGTTCCTTGTGCCTGTTCCAATGCTTATTATGCCAGAGAATGAAGAAAGGCCATCTCATCTCTAATAGGTCTATTTGGCATTTCCTTGGTGGAAATGTGGCCTGGGCCCTGGCCAGGGGCTGCCAGACCTGTCAGCTGGGCAAAGCACCACTCTGCTGCAGAGGCTGTGTGGGCTGGGAAGGGAAACACCTCAGGCAGGTACAAACAAACTCAAGTGAGGGGCCTGCAAAAGACGGGTTTTTAATACTTCAGAGGGGCCTGGTCCTTGTGGTGACAGCTACCCTGAGTCCACTTCAAAAGCCCTGATGCCCTGGGGACTCAGTTGACATCAATGCAGCACTTCTGCCCCGTCCTCCCTGCCCAAATCCCTCAGTTTAGCAAGGCTCCAGGGCCCCTCCTCCCAGGTTCCCCACTCCCCACCAAGGTGCGAGGACCCATGGCAGGAAAAGAATGTTTACTTAAAGGCTGACAGTTCAAAAGGAGTGGGGGTTGGGGGATCCTAATGGCACCACAAGTTGCTTTCTTTTCCAAAGCTCTGCCCCAGGGAAAGGCGATCCATCTGCCTGCAACCAGCGAAGGAATGCTCTCCACATCCTCTTCCCAGCTGAGGGCTCTTCCTGGGGCCCTTGGTCTGGCCAGCAAAGGTGGCAGACACTGATAATAGGGGGGAGTCAAAGGTTAAACAGCAGAGATTAGGTGAACACAAAGGCTTGTTAGGAAGTGTTAACATCTTCCCTGCAAATATACACAAAAAACCAAACCAGTGCTCCCCCCCCCCCTTCCCCAGGCTAGGCCAGTGGGAAGGAAAATGAATCCTGAAGCTTGGTCCCCACAGCAACATCAGAATCAGAGGGAAATTGAGGTGCATAGTTTGTCCCCATTCCTTGTCCTACTCCTACTATAAGGCTAGATGGCTGGGCACAGACCCTGAGGCTCAGCTTTGTCTTACAGTAATGGATTTAATTTATTGGTGAGGTTAAACAACTTCTCCCAGGAGGCTCCTGTCAGCCAGTGCTGGAGGGAATAGGGATATCTGCTTTCTTTCCTCGGGGCCAGCTGGCACCCTCCTATCTCTGTTCCCCCAGGCTTGGGGTTTGCCAGGACAGGGACTGCACTTGACTTTCTCATTAGAACCTGGATAAGAGAGGGACCCACTGTGCTTCTGGAAAAATCAGAATGCTCAGCCTCAGACAGCTGCAGACATGCAGCACACATTTACTGGACATCAACTGTGTCCTAGGCCTTGAGCTGTGAGCTGGTGATTTAAGGACAAAGAATAAACAGGTTTACCTGTGTAGACCTTGCTTGTTAATGCTAAAAGCTAAAGATATTTATAGCWGGGCAATTCCCCAGCATCCTGGCATGCCCCACTTTCTCCATCCCTACCTCCACCACTGTTCTCAGTAGCAACCAGGCAATGAACAACTTATTTTCCTTCCTTCCTCCTACCCTGCACCCCCCCCCCTTGGGATGAACCCAGGGTGTTGCACATGCGCTCTACCTCAATCCGTACCCCTAGTCCTGAAATGGTATGTAGCTTTGGTTTTAAACACATTTAATCCTCAAAACAGCCCTCTAAAGATCTGGACACAGTGGTGATTGCCCTCAATCTCAGCAACTCAGGAGGCCTGAGGCAAGTAAGTTCCAGGCCAACCTGGGCAATTTAGTAAGACCCTGACTTAAAATTTCAAAAAGGGCTGGGGATATAGCTCAGAAGAACACTTCTGGGTTCAAACCCCAGTACAAAAAACCAACAAAACCCTCTCAGGTTGGTTATTTCTATATCATCTTTTATAGAAACTGAGCACAGCAAAGTTAGGTATGTTGCTCAAGTCACAACGCCCTTATTATAAGGGCATTCCCCCAATCTCCTAACCCCTCCATCTCCACATTCTCATCAAATAATAGATCACCTGGTCTAGATTCCCTACATTTGTCCAAGGATGGGGCAGATACTGGGTGGAAAGGCAGGGGTGTTTAGTAACAGGTTCTCTATCCCCAGATTCAAGTACCCTGCACGTTTCCTGGGTACTCTCTCCAACAAATTAGGGTTCATCCTTTCTGAATGTCAAAATTTAGATGAAACAGTAGGCTTGCAGTAGGTCTTCTAGCTCTGTTTTATGACCCTGGGCAGGGCACTTAACTTCTGGGCCTCAGTTTCTCGCTCTAAATTCCTTCCTAAAATCAAGGAGCTACACTAGATGAACTTTAAGTCATTGTCAAAGGGCCCAAAATGGACTAACTCTGAACCTCTCTTTTCCTTGTGCCAAATGGACAACTCCTTCATTTTGGTTATTTCAGAAATGGCCTACTGCCTCCATCTCACTACTGTATTCCCTCCCCAATTTCCAGCCCTTTCTCACCCCATTCTCCCTTGAATTGAATAGGGGGGGCACAAGAGGTTGGGCCTTCAGCGAGAGAAAGCCCTTGGAGGAGGGCTATGTGGACAGTCTCATGGGCCCCACACACCTCTTGGCAGAAGTATCCAGAGAAGCCTTCAGTCATTCCCTCCCAGCAGCAGGAAATCTTCCTAAAACCCAAGGCTTTGGGAAAACTGAAGCCACGCCTAGCATCTCTTGTTGGAAAGTCATAATGCATGTGCACATACATGCTGGCAGGACCCTCAGAGTCCTAATGAATTAAAGCCTGTTGAATCCAGACTGACCTAAACTTATCTGGCCATAAGATCCTTTTCTTCTATAATACATGATGCTTATTAACACCTGCCATGGTGATCACTGATGTCCAATAAGCCAAGCTCTCTTCAGATTAGTTTCCAAAGAATTGTTCAGAACTTGCTTCAGGCCAGCAATTGTACTGGGTTCTCATATGTATCTGATATCATCAAATTCCCCCAAACAATCTGTGAGGCAGGTATAAGCATGTTCCTATGATTCAGAAGGAACCCTTGCCCAAATGCTACAGTAAGAGATAAGACTTAAGCCAATATCTTCCTACTCTAGTACCCTGGCTCATGCCACTTACAACTGCCAGCTTCTAGGATGAAGCCAGAAATCTTCTTTCTACACAAACATTCTTATCAAGACCAGATGATACACACAGGGGTCCTAGAAAAGCACTTTCTTCTCTGCCTGACTTATGCCTCATTAGTACCTGAGGCCAAGGACACAGTACACTAGAATCAATTCTCTAAAGCAAAGTGGCCAACCCAGTTCTTCAGAGACCAGGCAGATATGGACAAAGCAATTCTTGTCTGGCTTTGGTCAGGAATCACATTCTAGAATATGAGAATGGGGTAGGCACAGAATCTCCATGTGAAGATACGTTGACTCAGAGAAGAATGCCACTGTGTGGTAGAGACTGCAGAAGCCTGGGCACCAAATGATGGTGCTAGTTCTCCTTTTGGCAAGGAAGAGAGAGTTTGTATATGGCTGACCATACACTTACATTTACATAATTATTAATATATAACATTAGGATAAAAATATGCATCCTGCCTATYTCTGGATGACATGAAGACCAGAAAACAAATTTTTAAAGTGTCCTGAAGACATTAACAGTGCTCAGAGGAATAGTGTTAAGTTTTGTTTAATGAGTGGGAATACAAGTATATGACACATTACCACAGGTAGAGAGTGAAAATTCCACCAGACTCAGGAAAGATCTAGTTAAGAGTTCAGGGAGCCTTCCAGCTACCTCTTAACAGAGGATCTGTAGAGGGGTGGGGCTGAGCCAGGATGAGACCCTGGACCAAAGTCTCCATGTTGGCTCTGAAGTGGGCACCAAAATGCTCCTCTCTCCTTTGTGGGAACCCCATCTTCCCTGGCACCACTCTAATCATACCTGGCCTCCCCCAGTGCTTCAAAAATGACTTCCTCTCCTTGGGCACTGAATGGGTCTCTAGCCATGGAGCTCCTGGCCAATAGCGCCATCTATGGCTGGATGCACGCAGGAGATGGGGCCCAAAGGATCTACCAGCAGATGAATTTTTGGTGAGCTAGCTAGCCTGTCTACTCTCACTCTTGTAATCACATTTCTGCATGATATCTGTATTCGACAGTGACCTCTGGGGGACAAAAAGGAGGCAGCAGCCAGCTCCACAAAGTGCTAAGCTGCAGATTCAAGTGCTATCAGAAGCACTTTTGTTCCCAGTTTGGACCCAGGGCCTCTTACGCCAGGGAATGCTTGCTGAAGTACGGAGTTTGTTTTCCTACAGGCAATTTCTCTGTTGTCTGAAATTGCTAAATTCCACTTTAGGCACTGACTCCTGTTAATGATGAGAGCAATAACGGAAATAAACTGCCTTTTATCTGAGGGCTTCAATGTGCTTTATAAACGCAAACCCTTATTATTATGACTTTATATTTATAGACAAGGCCCACTGCAGGGGCTGCTGGCTGCATGTACAGCAATAATCCTGAAATTAATTCATTCATCTCCACCCCTTCCCCTGTCCTCTTAACCCTGACAAAATGATGGGGTATGGGTGTCATAAGAGGAGGGCTGCACTGGGGGAACCTGGGAGTTGCCTTGCTTCCCTGTGGGCCTTATGGACCTGAGGAAGACACAAGGAGAGGCTGGCACCACATCAGCTGAGGAGATGGACAAAGAGCTGGGGCCTCCCAAAGGCATGTAAGCAGAAGATGAGTAGAAGCACCTCTAGTTGGGTTCAGCAGCCTGTGAGGCATATTGGGCACAAGTATGAAGCATCATACTGTGGATAGGTAACTCAAGAAACCTGCCATCTTGACACCCCAATCTATTTCATGGGAATTGACACCCCCATACTGTAATCCCTCTGGTTCAGGTCAAGACTGATTCACTTCAGGGCTCTTTTCTTCTCCAATGATCGGTCAGAGCTCCATAAACCCAAGTGTGATCATTTTGAAAATGCATCTGGGTCACCTTCTGTCCTTTCAACACCCCCCCAAGTTGGCCTCCCCCCACCAGTGGACCATAAAGGGAAGTTGAGCACCCCTATTGAAACAGAATGCCAGGGACTTCCAAGAGGCCAAAGCATCTGTCTACTGTCCTTTAGTCCAAGGAGGAATTAGGGTTACTGCTGCCCAGACCAGTATTTTAAAGTCCTTTAACTGCTACCTCAGACAGTTCCAGACCATGGCTCCCCGCCAGCTCCAAAAGTGATGTCACCAGGTCAAGTTCCCCATGGACTGGATCCAGCAATGAGGTCAAGATCATAATTAACCTTATAGCAGAAGTGAAATCACAAGTGATTCCCTCATTCCTTTATTCATTCAACAAATATTTACTGAGCCCTAATATGTGCCAGGTACCATACTAGGCACATGTTCAAGTTCCCCTCCCTGATGGAGCTGATTACATTATTCAAGCTGCTCCTGCCCAGGGGAAGCCCTTCACTTTCAGTACCCTGGGTTTTTTGTTGGGTCTGCTTTCCTCCCTCAGAACTGGAGGAAGGAGGGTGCTCTGGCTTTGGAGTAAGCAACACTCTGGGACATGCCCCTACCCTGCCTCTGCTCAAGTACAAGCAGATAGGTGCTCACACGCAACTCACTTCTTGTTGGTTGTTCTGACAACAATGCAGCGCTCCTTCTGGGCCACACCAACGCTATAGACATCCTTAGGGTAGGGGAGGTTTCGAATCCGCCACTGGAAACTCGTCTTTGTGTCCTTACGCATGAAGATAGGCTGCAGAAGGCAAATCCAACTCAAGGACAATTCAAAGTCTGTGCCCTCAGGGGTCAGAGACCCTCCCAACCTCCATAAAACACTTGGACAGTCAGACATACATTAGCATTGCTTTCCTTGATGAGCTCGGGCCCCAGGCTTCCTGCTCCTGGGAGTGCTGGCTCTCCCACTTCAAGCTGCCACTGGCTCAAGGCTCCCAGCGCACTTTTCACTCGCCACTTTCTCACTGGGGACAGAAGCAAGCAATAGGATCACAGGGAAGAAAGGGTCACTGCTCTTTCCTGCTGAATCTCTGACATCACGTTAGTTCCCAAAAGAAACAGGATAGAAGTAGAGCATTGGAACCTTTAACTGGGCATTGTTCAACTGAGCAGGGATCACACAACCTATGAAATCTCAGTGGAGCATTTCAGTATTATACACTCTACAAAGCCCATCTCATGGGTGCACAGACAAAAGGAATTGGCATGAAGTTCTAGAAGCCTAGAGGAGTCAAGAAACACTCAAGTGCAAGGAGGACACTGAGAAATGAAAATAGTAATTTCTGGTTTTAGGAAAATTTGGATCCCCAAAAGGAAGTTTAGATGCATTTCCCTGCCTCTAAAAAATGCAAGGGAGCCAGTATGGTAGTACACGCCCATAATCCTAGAGGTTCAGGAGGCTGAGGCAAGAAGGTCATAAGTTCAAGAACATCCTTAGCAACTCAGTGAAACCCTGTCTTAAAAGTAAAAAAGGTCTGAAGATGTGGCTCAGTGATAAAGCTCCTTTGGGCTCAATCGCCAGTGTCCTCACCCGCGCCCCCCCCCMAAAAAAAATGCAAAGGAAAAATGAATGAAGAGAGTGAAAGCTGTCTGGTAATTTTGTCTCATGATTCAGAAAGTTCAGATATAGAAATTCATTCATTTCATGGGGCTGGGATTGTGGCTCAGCAGTATAGAACTCACCTAGCACGTGCAAGGCCCTGAGTTTGATCCTTTGCACCACATAAGAATAAATAAATTAAAATAAAGGTATTGTGTCCAACTACAACTAAAAGTAAATATTAAAAAAAAAAGAAATTCACTCATTTCACGTATACCTGATTTATAAAAAACTATATTATCAGGCTAGTTCAGTGGCAGAGCTCGTCTCATAAGCACAAAGTACCATGTTTAATCCCCAGCACTGCAAAACAAACAAAATCTGAGGCACACACTGTATTTTAAATGCACTATTTATAGAAGATCTAATGTGTTTTTGCAAAATGGAATTTTATATTTGCAAGTTTATAATGCAAAAAATCATCTCTATTTTTTCTTGCTTTACAACCCAGCTATTTGTACAAATTTTTTAAAAAATAATTTTTAGTTGTGGATGAACACAATGCCTTTATTTCATTTATTTATTTTTATGCTGAGGATCAAAGCCAGTGCCTCACATGTGCTAGGCAAGTGCTCAACCACTGATACAATCCCAGCCCCCCACACCTTTTTTTTAAGGATATATATTATGGAAATTATAAATCCAGAAACTAGTTCAATGGACATCATCTAGAAATCCCTGCTAGGATTTTCAGAAATTCCTCTCAGCCCTGTCCTAGGGACTGCTGTGGTGCAGTGGAACTACCTTTTTGGAGGCATAATCCCATTTCCTGTCTACTGTATTTGGGATCCCTGGGTCTGCCATCTCAGGGTGTCCTCCAGCCTGAACAACACAGTTATTGCTCAAGACCAGCAGCTGCCTTCTGCAGCCACTGCAGGGAGTGGAACAACTCGAAGTGCCTGGAGTGCTGCTGCCGTTGTTTCCAAGTGCAGGCTCCTTTTTCCCATCAGGAGAGGTCATGGCTCCAGTCTGATCCTCAGTATCAGGCAAGTGGATGGTTTGCCTTTAGACCTGAGCAGCTGTGCCAACCCACACACCCTCACTGCTATAAGGAAAGCATGTGAGCAGAACACAAAAGCATGCTGTAAAATTAAGATTTTCCATTGAATATGTGCTTTTATAAGGTCTGCTGCATGCTGTAGTATGATTTTATTACATCTTAGGGACAAAAGTTCTCCCTAGAAACACATTTCCAAGTTTATAATGAAAATTAATAAGAAAGAATAAAACTTGGAAATGTGCTTAATAGACAACTTTTTCCCCCCACAGATACTTTCTTAAGTGAATGGACTGTGACCAGGAGTATATCCAGATATATTCACTATAATATTTCACTTAATTGTAAGCCAGCCTTCTGGGGGGCCTCTATCACAACTGAAAACTCAGAAGTGACAAATACTTCCAAAAAAATAGCTTATTATGACAAGACCCTTGTATCCTGCTCCACACTATCAGAAAGATTATTCCTAAATCCTTACTCAAGCTACATATAAAATGCTGTGTGCTGGGCACTGTGGCTTATACCTGTAATTCCAGCTAGTTGGAAGGCTGAAACAGGAAGATTCCAAGTTTGAGGCCAGCCTGGGCAAGCTGGCAAGAAGCAAGACCCCGTCTCAAAATAAAACAAAAAATATAAAATACAAAATAAAATTAAAAAGGGATAGGGATGTAGCTGGTGCATAGCATATATGAGGCCCAGAGTTTGAATTTTTTTTTTTTTTTTTTATATCAGGCATTAAACCCAGGGTTACTTAACCACTGGGCCACGTCCCCAGCCTTTTTTTTATTATTATTTTTTAATATTTTTAGCTATAGATGGACACAATACCTTTATTTATTTTTATGTGGTGCTGATGATCAAACCCAGTGCCTCATACAAGTAAGGTGGCACTTTACCACTAAGCCACAATTCCAGCCTCTTTTATTTTTTAATTTTTTTGTAGTTATAGGTGGACAGCATGCCTTTATTTTATTTATTTTTATGTGGTGTTGAGGATCAAACCCAGCACCTCACGCATGCAAGGCAGTGTTCTGCCACTGAGCTACAGCCCCAGCCCTGCACTTTTTAGTTTTTGAGACAGGGTCTTGCTACGTTGCTCAGGGTCTCACTGAATTGCTAAGCCTGGCTTTGAACTTGTGATCCTCCGGCCTCAACCTCCTGAGCCACTGGGATTACAGGCATGAGCCACCATGTTCGGTCCAGGATTTGATTCTTAGTCTCACACACATACACACAACAACAAAAAAAAAAAAAAAAAAAAGAAAAGAAAGAAAGAAAAAGAAAAAAACTATGTATAGAATAAGGCAAGAAATTTTGTTCTCAGGCATACTGACAACACTGTCAAAGGACATCTTACATGGAAGTGCAGAACTAGGACAGCACTTGGGACCATTTAGTGTCAGAGCAAACAAGCACCCTTAGTCCTTGATATCTCTATATAATAGAACATGACCACCACAGATCTTATCGGTGAAAGTTATTTTAGAAAGTATCTAGTCCAATAACCGTATGTTTGCTTGTTTGTTTATTTATCCTAGGGATTGAACCTTAATATGCTTTATGACTGAGTTACATCCCTAGTCCTTTTTATTTTTCATTATGAGACAGGGTCTTGCTAAGTTGCTAAAGATCTCCATAAGTTGCTGAAGCTGGTCTTAAATTCCTTAGCCTACCAAGTCAGTGGGACTACAGATGCACACTACTGCACCCGGCTTTGTCTTTATTGTTGTTGTTTTTATGCATATATGTTTAAAATGGGAAACATTTCTTCTGTGCCTGCTCACCTTCATCTCTTGCCATTTCTTTCCAGGAGACAAGAGTCTATTGAGTAACAGACAGACCACTTTGCAAAAGCCACAGTTAAAATTCAGGTCTCCTAACCCCAAATTCAGAATCTGAATCATTAATAAAAGGTTAAACTGCAGCCCAGAAGTATTCAATAAGTGTTTGTGATATAAACATTTTGTGATATTTCTTTTTTTTTTTTTTGGTACCAAGGGATTGAACTCAGGGGCACTCAACCACTGAGCCACATCCCTAGCCCTTGTGATAGTTCTTAAAGTAACTTTATTTTTGGCAGTATTGGGGATTGACTCAAGAGTTTCAAGCAGGGCATGGTAGTGCACACCTGTAATCCCAGTGGCTTGGGAGACTGAGGCAGGAGGATCACAAGTTCAAAGACAGCCTCAGCAAAAGCAAGGTGCTAAGCAACTCAGTGAGACCCTGTCTCTAAATAAAATACAAAATAGGACTGGGGATATGGCTCAGTGGTTGAGTGCCTCTGGGTTCAATCCCTGATACCAAAAAAAAAAAAAAAAAAAGAGAGAGAGAGAGAGAGAGAGAGAGTGAGTTTCAAACATGGTAGGCAAGCACTCTACTCCTGAGCTACATTACATCCCCCAATCCCTTTTATTTTTTTGAGACACAGTCTTTCTAAGTTGTCCAAACTAGTACCGAACTTGTGATCTTCCTACCTTAGCCTCCCAAATATCTGGAATTTCAGGTGTGTGCTACTATGTGTGTGTGTATATATATACACACACATTGCTCTTTAAAGGCTAAACTTCAATTATCTGAAAAAGTAAATATGAGGAATGTCTGACTACCTGGGGCTGGAGAAGTGAGATGCCCCTGTAATCATGGGCCATGTCAAATTTGATGTCCATTTCACTACCAGTGTGGCTTGGGAAAGGCACTAACCACCCTTTGAATTCCTGTGCACTCTTCTACTCCAAAGAATGCTGGGTTTTTCACAGAAAGCTTTTTTTAAAAAAAAAATATTTATTTTTTAGCTGTAGTTGGACACAAAACCTTTATTTTACTTATTTATTTTTATGTGGTGCTGAGGATTGAACCAAGGGCCTCACACGAGCCCTCTACCACTGAGCCAGAACCCCAACCCTCCACAGAAAGCTTTTTTTTTTTTTAATATTTTATTTTTTAGTTTTTAGGTGGACACAATATCTTTTTTTTTTTTTTAATGTGATGCTGAGAATCGAACCCAGTGCCTCACGCATGCCAGGTGAGCACACTACCACTTGAGCCACATCCCTAGCCCCCACAGAAAGCTTCATAAGGAGGAAAAGATTGCTGTTGGCTCCCTCTTTCCAACCTCAAAAGCCACTCAGGCCACAGGAGCTTTGGCACCCTTGGCTGCCTCACCATTTTTTTTTTTTAACACCTATGAAATTACCTTCTTTGTTAAAAAGTAATACAGAAGAAAGTTTTCCTTTTCAACCCTTTAAGAGATAAGATTCAAAAATTATTTTGGCAAAGTCCTTATTTATCTCATACATAAGGGCATGAGTACACACGTGCAAATACACACTTATCTTTCTTGTCCATGTCTTTGTTCCTGAACTCAAGGACAGCTCCTGCGGCAACAGAACACTGTTTCTACCTGCTGTCACTCTGATTTGATTATATGTTAAACCCAAACTGGTGTGTGCAAGGCAGCTCCCTGGGTGCTGTCATCTCTTCCCAGCTGAGCCAGGGTCAGTCCTTGGGAAGGAGACTTTCAATGACCCTGCAAAGGGTCTGACAGGGAATATGAAGGAGGCAATGCCTGGGGACTTTTTCCTAAATCAGCAGGAAACAGGCTGATGTCCCAGGCTGCTGAAAGAGGCCCGATCTTTCAGGTGGGCTAGAAAGTGGAGGTCCTAAAGGCCTCTTTCCCCAAAGCTCCAAAGCCTGGCCCACTTCCAATGTGGATAATTACATTCCCCTTTCCTAAATACTCCCTGCAGCTTAAACTAGATGCAGGATTCTTCTTTTCTGCCCTAAAACACTGCAACATTGCTCTGTGGCTATTAAACAGCTGCCGCGACCCATCCCTGAGGAGGCTGAAGGGAATCGAGTGGGTCATTTATAAAGCCGCTGAAGTGCCTGGGGATGAAAGTGCTCAATATCCTCCAAATGCGGCCTGGGGTGGTTAGGCTGGCGGTCAAATACCAAAGCAGATTAAGCAGTAATCCGAATGTAATCGCTAGGGGATGGCCTGCCCTTCAGCCTCTGCTTCCCTGGACACGCTGTGTTTTTCTGGGGCTAGTTTGATGTTCCGATCATTGTTATGGGGCCCTTCAGTTTTTCCTCTATGAATACATACAGCATTCATTGTGGGGGGTGGGAATGAATAGCCCCAAGAGATTAGAAAAAAAGATGACACTAACATGCTTGTTAACACTGACTAGAGAAACTTTGTCCCAGGCAAATGCACACCTATTGGCAATTCTTCCTCTGTAAATTGAGATTTTTGAATAGAAACAGCAGTTTGGCCAATTACCAAATTTATATAATTAGTTGGAAAATGGAAACTATTTCTGCATACTGCCACAAAAACCACATCTGTATTTTACTTCATAGTATACACAAGCAAAAGACAGCTCAGATCCTAGGATTATTTATTCTTAAAAATTAACAGCTGGGACTGGATGTGGTAGTGTACACTGGTCATCTCAGCAACTCAAGGATTGCAAGTTCAGGGGCAGCCTCGGCAACTTAGCAAGGACCTGTCTTAAAATAAGAAGGATTGGGACTGGGGGTGTAGTTCAGTGGTAGAGCCTAGTATGTGTGAGGCACTGGGTTCAATCCCCAGCACTTAAAAAAATTAAAAAATAAAATAAAAATAAAACCTGGGTGCAGTGGCATGCTCCTATAGTCCCAAGTACTTGGGAGGCTAAGACAGGAGAATCACTTGAGCCTAGGAATTCAAGGCCAGCCTGGGCAAACTAGTGAGGCCCCATCTCAAAATAATAAAAATAATAAACAACAACAATTATGATGATGAAGAGTATTTTGTGAGGGCAGTTGGGTAGGGGTTAGGGGAGAAGAATAAGAAATGGATCTACTGTTCTCTGGCTACGGTCCAGTGGCTGGAGTGGGGTGATTCTTCATGCCTATCAGTCCCCATTCAGGTCATTCTGGGAAAGAAAAATTGAATAAGGCTAGGCGTGGGGGCACATGCCTGTAATCCCAGCTATTTGAGAGACTCAGACTCAGATTATGAGTTCTAGCCTAGCCTGGGTAACAGCAAAACCTCTTAAAAAAAAAAAAAAAAGAAAGAAAGAAAGAGAAAATAGGAAGCAAAGAAAGTTAGATTTAAATATTCTTTGCTATACATCAAAGCACAGACTTTTTAGAAAATATTGTTTAGTTGTCAATGGATCTTTATTTTATTTATTTATATGAGACTGAGAATCCAACCCAGTGCTTCACACATGCTAGGCAAGCACTCTACCACTGAACCACAACCCCAGCAAGCACGGACTCTTGATTGGACAGAACTTAGAAACCTAACAGCAATGTGATTCTGAAAAAGGTACTTAACTTCTTTGAGCTTCTGTTCTTTCAACTGTAAAATGGGGAAGAGGATACCTATGTCATAGGGGTTTTCTTTTTTCCATTGGTGTGGGGTACTGGGGATTGAACCCAGGTGTGTTTAATCACTGAACCACATCCCCAGTCCTTTTTATTTTTTGAAACAAGGTCTCACTAAATTGCTTAGGGCCTTGCTAAGTTGCTGAGACTGGTCTTTCAGTCCTCCTGCCTCAGCTACCTAAATTGCTCGGATTACAGGTGTGTGCCACCATTCCCAGCTGTCATAGACTTTTGTTTTGTAACACATACACACACACGTGTGTGTGTGTATTTGTGTGTGTATATATGTAAACATATACACACATATAAATATGTACACACACACACACACACACACACACACACATATATATATATATATTAGTTGTAGATGGACAAATACCTTCATTTTATTTATTTTTATGTGGTGCTGAGGATTCGAACCCAGTGCCTCACACATGCTAAGCAAACACTCTACCAACTGAGCTACAGCTCCAGACCTGTTATAGGGTTTTAATGAAGACAATTACATGATGTCATTCATATAATATACTTGGCATGGTGTCCAACAAGAATTAATGTCATTAGTAGGTAAACTTTAGTCAAATAGTATTCTCTCTCATGAACAAAATCTCACTCTATTTCTGTTTTTAAGAAAAAGGAGTTTGAGTCAAGCCTATAATCCCAGTGACTCAGGAGGCTAAGGTAGGAGGATCACAAGCTTGAGGTCAACATTGGCAATTTAGCAAGAGCCTGTCTCAAAATGAAAAATAAAAAAGGACTGGGAATGTAGTTCAGTAATAGAGAGCCTTTGGGTTCAATCCCCAGTACTGCCAATAAATAAGTACATAAGAAAAAGAAAAAGGAGTTTGGAGGTCAGAGTCTGTCCYCTCTTGCCACCAGGAGAAACAATAGGTAAATGTGGGATACTGGGGCTTCAAATGCTACAAATGAGGGAAACTGCACTTTTTTTTTTAATTTTAATTTCATCTCCAAGTTCAACAAAAAAGCCCAGGTTTTGTTTGTTTGTTTCCACAGCTGTGGCAACAATAGCTGCTTTACTTGTTCTTTGTGGAAAAGAGGGGTGATATTGGGGGCTGGGGTGAAGCTGGGGCGAGGTGTTGCGGTCAGTCTCTGGCCTGGATATGGTGATGGTTAGCCCACGTGACCTCTGCTTTCATAAGTTCTCCCCTGTTAGGCATTCCAAGGCTGTCACCCCCTGGGAGCACTATAAATTACAATACATTGTGAGGATATTACTACTGTATTGGTTTCCTCCGAATCAGTGTCATATGCTAAACACATCAAGATTTTTAATAGCACCAGACTAAGCCAATTGGGACCAAGCCCAAGCAGTTCATAATAAGGAGGGATCAACACTTCACTCTGCAACTGAACATGCGGAGGGCACATATTTTAAGACCAGAGACCAAGAGAATGCAAACCAGTGTAATCCATGTTGTCGGTTCTAGACATTTATGAGCTGTCAGAAAAAGGGAAAAAGAAATTCCCTCACCAATACAACCTGTCGATCAGGCCTAGGAAGAAATTAAAGTCAAGAATAATGACAAGAAAATAACCCAGTCCATGATTCCATCATTGGTCTTAGCATTTCAGGTGGAACTTAATAAAGAGACCAACTCCCACTGCTGACAGCCTTAGGCCCTGGGTCACAGAGCCAGCCTCCTAGCTCTGGGAAGTCAGTTAAGGCTGATGTGYGTACCTGGGAATAGAAAGTGGACAAATCAAATAATTCCCAGAAATTCAAACTGGAACCCCTATTCATAAGCCTATTCATAGAGGGAAAAATCTGTAGGAATGAAAAATGATAATGCTGCAAAATCACCAAGCATACCCCCTTTGGATCATTCTTCAAGATGAGGGTCGTATTTAACGGTGTTGCCTTGGAGGCAAGGTCAGAAGATACTGCCTCTGATGCTTGCTCCTGGAGTGGCTCAGAAAACACAACAAGCAATCAAAAAGCCTGCAGTGAAAGGCTGTCCTTATCACTACGGGCTACAAGGCTCACTTCAATACCATTCCCACTTCAATACCATTCCCACTTCAATACCATTCCTCTGTTAAGTTTTTCTCCAACTGTTTCTCCTCATACCCCCTCCCAGCTTAGAATTACCTTTCTTGCTGGCTGGGGCTGGGCTTTATGGGTAAAAAAAAAAAACAAAAAAAAAACAAAAAAAACAAAAACCTCCCACTCCATTTCCAGTGTCCAAACTATTTTCAGTAACAACCTTGCCCCAAAAGCCTGAGTACTCCCTCCCTCAGTTTCCACATTTCATGCTGGGCAACTCCCTCGAGCCTAAGGCTAGGAGCTTTGGCCTGTGCTCAGAACAACCCCAAGCCTTCCAAAGAGTCCAATGGAAGCCTGTTACTTACCAAGTAGTTCACTCGTCTTCTCATCATATTCTTCAGCCATTTCCTTTCCATCCGGGAACAAATAGTGCACCTTTCTTCTCCCTACACACAGAGCAGACAGTGCCTTACCTCATAGCCTTCCTCTGCCTTGCCTCGTGCTGATGTGCAAGGGGCCTTACCTGGGAACAGCAATAGCCCTGAGAGTAATGAGAAACCTCGCTGGAACCCCTAGGAACTCCTTGCCAACTATCACCCACCATTACTTTAAGTCATATCCTGGGGCTCACTTGCTTTCTGAAGCTTCTTCCTCTGAACATGCCTTTGCAATTTTCTCTATCAGCAATAATGCCATAATTCTTCCCATCCATGAAACTCTTCCTCACCCTTCAAAATCCAACTCAAATGTCACTTCCACTGGAAAGTCTCCCACAATTATCACCTCCAGCTCATTGGCAGAAGTAATCACTTCCTCATCTTCCCCCTCCCATGGTGTATTCACATGTATAGTGGAGCATTTATCACATATTATAACACTCCTAAAAGTATCAGACATGAATGTCATCACACAGTTTCTAAAACCAAGCTTACACAGGATGTTGAGCTGGGGTTGTTGACCCAGCACTTCCCTTCAGTCATGCCATTGTCCTACCTTCTTCCACACATCTCTAGGTCATTCAGAGACACATGATGGCAACTGCCATGTATTTGCTCCCTGACAAGGTACTTCAGTTATGATTTTATATCTACTTGGTGTGATTCTTTGATTATTGCCTGTCTCTTTTACTGGACAGGAGCAGTTTTATCCCTGTACCTGTGGTTTCCCTGAGAGTAAGCAGAGTAGCTGGCTCAAAGAAATAGTGACTGAAAGAATGAATAAATATCGACACATCCTCCACTGACAAGCCCGGAGTCTCCCTGACCAATTTCTCTACCCACATAGCATAACCATAAGCATTTGCTTAAGGATGACTGTGTAACTTCCTCTTTCTTTTTACATATAGGACGCAGATATAGGTATGCCCTCAGAAAGACTAATAAAAGGGCATTAATGCTCAGTAGGCATGTACACTATATAAGATTCAAGAATAAGAATCCTAGCTGGGGACTGATGCTGTAGCTCAGTGGCAGAGCACTTGCCTAGCACGTGTGAGGAGCTGGGTTTGATCCTCAGCACCACATAAAAATAAACAAATAAAATAAAGGTATACTTGGCCAGGGTCGTGGCTCAGTGGTAGAGTGTTTGCCTATCATGTGTGAGGCACTGGGTTCGATCCCCGGCACCACATAAAAATAAAGGTATTGTGTCCATCTACAACTGAAAAAAATATTTTTTAAAAAAGCATACTGTCCATCTATAACTACACTTTTTTTTTTTTTTTTAAAGATTCCTAGCCAGGGGGCTGGGGTTGTGGCTCAGTTGGTAGAGTGCTTGCCTAGTATGTATGAGGCACTGGGTTCGATTCTCAGCATCACATAAGTAAATAAATAAAGGTCAATCAACAGCTAAATAAAAAAAAATTAAAAAAAAAAAAAAGAAAAAGATTCTTAGCTAGGTATCATGGAGCACTCCTGTAATTCCAGCTTGGCTGAGGCAGGAGGAGCTCGAGTTCAAAGCCAGCCTCAGCAACTTAGTGAGGCCCTAAGCAATTCAGTGAGACCCTGTTTCTAAATAAAATATTTTTAAAAGGGCTGGGGAGGCCAGGGTTGTGGTTTAGTGGTCAAGTGCTTGTCTAGCATCCATGAGATACCGGATTTGATCCCTGGCACCACAGAAAAATTAAAAAATAATAATAAAATAAAGGTTAAAAAATAATTGAAAAAAAAAAAAAGGCTGGGGATGTGGCTCAGTGGTCAAGAACCCCTGGGTTCAATCCCTGGTACCAAAAAATTACAAAAGAGTCCTCAGGTGGCTTTTTCCTAATTTACTCTTCTGGGAACAGTTCTCTTGAGTCATTTTAAATTTGTATTTCAGGGAAACTCAAATCCCAAATTTGCAGGGCATCTCAACAGCCTTTAGGTTCCACCATTCTTAACCATTTGGGTGGTTCATAGGAGCCAGCAGGTGTTTTCCTATCAGAAGAAGGGCACAAGGTACTGCCTGTGCACAGCTGAGGGCACCTAGCCTGGCCATCTTCTCCCCTTTGCCTCCAGCCTCGAGTACTAGCAGAATGTGGTACTTACTATCAACCAGCCAGTTTACATGTTTTATTGAATTTAATTCTCACAATAATCCTCTGTATCTCCATTATCTGTATTTCACAGATGAGGAAAATTGAGGCTTAAAGATGTGAAACTTAGTCTAACATTATAAAGCTAGAAAATGACAGACTCAGACTTAAACTCTTTTGAGGCCAAAGTCCAAGTTCTAATAATTATATCAGAAAAATTTCTACAGCTTAAAATATTTGTAAGGTTGAACATTGTTCCAGGGATTTATTGAACATTTTTCCAGAGAGTTCCTTTTTACATCCCTATACCTGCCAAGATGGCAAATCTGCATTTTAACAAAGCACACCCATATATTCAATATTGTGGGGTTTTGGGGGTTTTTTTTTGGGGGGGAAAAACCTTAACAATATCATTTTGTGATGCTAATAATAAAAGAACACAATCTTGGCTGATAAAATATTTGTTTAAATATTGTTCTGTGACCAAATACCTGGGCTTGCACCTCTGAATACCTCTGAATTCATATTCAGAGCAGCATTATTCACAATAGTCAAAAGGTAGAAGCAACCTAAGTGTCCCTCAACACATGAATAAACAAAATGTATGTGTGTGAGGAGGTGAGTTGTGCATAAATACAAATGGGATATTATTCACATTTTAAAAGGAAGGAAATTCTAACACATGTATAACATGACTTATGCTATAAGAAATAAGCCAATCATAAAAGGACAATTTCATTCATCTGGTTTCCTAGAGTAGTCAAATTCACAGAAATAGAAAATAGAAAGGTGCCTGCCAGGGGCTGGGGAGGAAGAGAGCACAGAGTTTACTGACAGAGTTTCTTGAGGAAGATGAAACAGTTCTGGAAGCTGGGTTTAGTGGCACATGCCTGTAATCCCAGTGGTTCAGGAGGCTGAGGCAGAAGGATTGTGAGTTCAAAGCCAGCCTCAGCAACTTATCAAGGCACTAAGAAACTCAGTGAGACCTTGTCTCTCATAAAATACAAAATAAGGCTGGGGATGGGACTCAGTGGTTAAGTGCCCCTGAGTTCAATCTTTGATACCAAATAAAATAAAATAACAATTCTGGAAATGGATGGTGATGATGATTGCACAACAGTGTGAATGTACTTAATTAAAATGAACTGTATGCTTAAAGAGTTAAAATGGTAAATTTTATGGTATGTACTTTTTATCACAATAAAAACAAAAATAGCCAGACATGATGGCATATGCCTACGATATCAATTACTCAGGAGAATCCTGAGTTCAAAGTCACCCTGGGCAACTTAGCAAAACCTGTATCAAAATAAAAAGGGCCGCTGATGTAGCTCAGTGGTAGGGCATCCCTGGGTTTAATCCATGCGCGGCGTGCATGCTCTCTTTCTCTCTCACATGCACACAAACAACAATCAACATTGTCCTTTGAGATAATGTCCAAATTCTGCAAGGCAAATACCGAAATTTTCTGCAATCCATTTCCACCTTTTCCCCTCATTGTTCCTTGAGTGACGGGACCCTTTCATTCACCCTTGTATCTTAGCACCTAGTAGCACAGCTGACACAGCATAATGRTTTGTTACAACTGACTGAGCAAATGATTTCTCACCACTAAACATTTTGTTATTCCTTGAGTAACCAGTTGTATATTTCCATACCTCCAAGCCTTTACATGTTGAGTCACTATTCCTTAAATATCATTCCCTTTTCCACTCTGCAAACACCTCTTAATTCCTTAGGACCCAGAATTATCACCCCTTCTGTTAGGTCTCCCTCCAAAGAGATGATCATTTCTACTTTCATGCTCTCAAAGCATTTTATACAAGATTTCACCCTCTACTTAACATGCACTATTATTTATTTACATGTCTTTTCCTGACCATTCTGTGCACTCCTAGGAGAATATGTCTTTTTTTAACTGTTCTAGTACAGAACTTGGCACACAGTAAGGACTCCCTTAAATGTTGCACAAATGAGCAGCTGATTTTAATTTCCACAAACTCCAGGCTTCCCTGATTGGCCTCTACCTGGGACTGAGTCCCCAGCTGTTAGCTTTATAGCCTCAGAAATTTAAACCTAATTTGCTTTGGCTGCCAAGTGAGTCCAGGAAAGAACCCTGAAATCCAAGAGGCCCTAGAATGGACAGTTAGTTCTATGATAAGAAAAAGCCAGAACTCCATACCTGGTGCCCACTCTTACAGGCATGGTTCTTAGTCCTTGTTCTAGCTCCAGTAAAGACCAGGGCACATTTAGAGATTCACTTTGCAAACATAACAATACAGCTGGAAAGGATCTCAGAGGTAAGTGGTGGCCCATCTACTTCATTTTACAGATGAGGAAAGCGAGATCCAAACAAGAAAAGTGGCCTGCTGCACAGCCCTAGAATTAATGGCAGAGTCCAACTAGAACCCAGGTCTCCCTCTTCTTCATGACACCAGGCTGCCACCGGCAACCGAATCCCCAGACTGAGGTTCATGGGAGCCCAGATCAAGATCAGTTGTACCACTGATTCGCTGGGAAAGCTGAGGCTGATCTAAAACTTTCCAGGATTTCTGTTTCCTCGTCTGTAAAACAGAGTAGAAAATTATCAGAATCCTGGCACATCAGTGAGCAGCAAATGAGATAACGAATGGGAAAGGAATTATTATGTATTAGCAACAAAACTCCGAGAGGGGCGAGATGGTGTAGGGAAACCTATGAGGCGCCCAGAGACGTGGGTTCCAGTCCCGTCGTCTCTGGGCCTCAATTTCCTCTTCTGCCAAAACGGGAACTGGCCTGGCAGACGACCGCTGCGCTTCCAGCTCTGCCGGCCGAGGCCCTTCCCCGGGGACACCAGCGCGAAGGCTGGACCCTAGCGGTGAGGACGAGGGAGCTCGCGGGCGCCTCGAGTTACCATCTTGCAGCAGCGCTGTCTTCTCTGCCGCCCGCAGACTCTCTAACCAGCCAGTCACCGCCATCTTCCCTCCGCCCAGCCACGCGCAAGGACGCTGCCATGGCAACTGTTCCGCCGAGGGTCACTTCCTGATGACCCGGATGGTATTCTGGGCATTTGCCCTTCCCTCTTACCCCCTTCGTCCGCTCTCATTGGCTCCTCTGGTAAGTAGTTTATTCCTTCTCGCCCGGTGACTCTCCAAGATCCAGAGCTGATCCCACCTTGGGAAGGACTCTTAGGTCTGGCCCGGTGGAGGTCTCTCCCCTGGCTCCCAGCTGGGAATCCCTGGCCCGTGCCAGCTGTGCACGCGGCGGGTGCACCACACCTGCCTGAGTCTTCTCCATCCCCAGCTGTGAGACCGAGACTCCCCCAGTCCCGGAGAGCGCCGCACACCTGCTATGGCAGTGCCCTCTTTCCCCGCAGCTGCGGGACTCAACCCCCCCACCCGCCCCATGCTGAGAGTCCTGCGCCCCGGGCAGGTGCAGGCTGTTCCCGGCGCCCTCCAAACCACCCTCCCAGGTTTTCCTCTTCAGTTGTATCCTTGAGAGGTAGCTATGTGGGTTTATGGGCAGGTGTCCTTCCGTCTCTACTCCTTTGAGGAGATGAAGAAGACCTTCCTAAATAGTTCATTTCCTACCTTGGTGTCTTTTTGGTAAAGCACTTTGGAAGTGGGATGCAGCACGGGCAGATTGCTGAATCTTCAGTGCAACTCCTTTGAGGACTGCTATAATTTCCTACCTCTCAAAAATAACCTCAATAGTCCCTGTGTTCCCCTCGCTTCCCCCAATGCCAAACTAAACAACCCGTGAGTGTAGAGCTAGCTAAACCACTGAAGTTTGATTGGGTTTTCTGAGATCCCTGGAAACTGGGCTGCTGCCCTCAAGGTCTGGTTGATAGAGGCTCCATCTCTATATGCAAGTGGGTTGGGAGAACTCAGTTTTGGATTTCTACATGACGTCTGCCCTGACCAATCCTTAAACAGAAAGGATCCAGCCATACTTCAATGGACCCCAGGGGCATCTTGAAGGCATTTCCCAAGAGAAAGAAAAGTCATGTCAATCCATCATCAAAAGCATTGACAAAGATTCCCAAGAGGGAAGAGGGAGAAGAAGCAGGAGGTGAGCAGACATACCCTCAGAACTCTCATGCACTTGAACCCTTGGCCTTCCCATTGTTTGGTCCTACTTTGTTCCTGTCCAGAATCAGGTATCAGAACTGAGACAAGCTATCTAGGACCTTCAGGTCTTTGTACCTGACTTGGATTAGCCATATCTTTTCTTTCTTTTTTTTTTTTTTTTTTAATTTGGGTACTGGGGATTGAACTCAGGGGCACTCATCTGAGCCACATCTCCAGCCCATATTTGTTTTTTGTTTTTTTTTTTAGCGACGGGTCTCACTGAATTGCTTAGTGCTTTGTCATTGCTGAGGCTGGCTTTGAACCCACTATCCTCCAGTCTTAGCCTCCCTGGGCCACCAAGCCCCGCAGTCACACATCTTTGATAGGCAGCTTTCTGTTTCCCTTCTTCCCCACCTAAGACCTTCATCAGTCAGAATATACTCCCTAATCCCTCAGGAAATGACTGGTAGAATTCTTTACTCTCCAGGAGGCTGCCCCAACTGCAGACAGAAATTCCCCTTGATGCTAGGAGTGCTAAGGCATAAACATCATCACAAGTTTGAGGCCAGCCTCAGCAATTTAGCAAGGCCCTGAGCAACTTAGCCTCAGGCTTGTAAGTTGTTTGGGGCCCTATTGACAGAAAGATGGCAGAGGCTTTATGGGGAGTGGGAGCAGGAATCAGATCTGCTAGACTGTGAGGGCAAGAAACAATAGAAGAAACATGCTTTGTTGAAAGAATAAGTGATAAAGTGACTCTGAACTGCAGTTCAAAGTAGGGAGGGATAAGGCATTTATTTACTCTTTTATTTAACAAATATTTATAGGCTACATACAATGTGCCAGACATTGTTCTTTGTTACACCAGAAAACAGGATAAATAAAAATTCTCACCCCTTATATTCCAGTGATTGCCTATGAGGAAATTGGCTGTATGCTTATAAGGTAGAATCCCCAGAAGGCAGACTGTGTGGATGGAAGGAAAATGATTGTTTTAGGCAGAGAGGACTGCAAACATGTCATTGTGATCATATCTAAAAATTTTGATAATAGGCATCTAACTGTCCCTCCCACAGAGTGGCTGAGCTCCCTGCGGGCTCACGTTGTGTCCACTGGCATTGGACGAGCCCGGGCAGAACTCTTTGAGAAGCAGATTGTTCAGCATGGTGGCCAGATATGCTCTGCCCAGACCCCAGGGGTCACTCACATTGTGGTAGATGAAGGCATGGACTGTGAGCGGGCCCTCCGCCTCCTCAGACTGCCCCGACTGCCCCCAGGTGCTCAACTGGTAAAGTCAACCTGGCTGAGCTCCTGCCTGCAGGAGAGAAGACTGGTGGACACAGCTGGATTTAGCATCTTCATCCCCAACAGGTGGGCTGGTTCCTCAAATGTTTTCTGGCAGCATCTTGAGTCTATTCTTGAGCTATTCCAGATGACTATTTTCTCGTTTATTTTGTGATACTGTGGATGGAACTCAGGGCCTTGCATATCCTAGGCAAGCCCTCTACCTACACCCCCAGCCCTACTTTTAAAATTAGACACATTAGAAAACTAAGGTTTCAAAATAGAGAAGGATTTGGGATGGAAATAGGATGAGACTTTGGGTGTCTTAACCTCCTGTCATCATCCCCCAGGTATGTGGATCAACCACAGCCCAGCAAAGTGGACCAAGACTCTTCTGCTCCTCCTGGCACTCATAGGATTCTGCCTAGGACAGCCCTTTCTCCTCTGCCTCCTCCTACCAGAGCTGTATCTCCTCCCCAAAAGGCAGAAGAGGCACCAAGCTCCCAAGTCCAGGTCAGGAGCCTCCTAGCCCCCTGGGTATCTGATCCTAGAAGTGGGGAACATCAGAAGGTACCAGGCCCCTGAGACAGTAAGTCTGTCTTGATTTAGCACATACTACTCAGAAGCCCAGGGCTGGACACTGGGAAAGGGAAGCCACATAGTACATGTCCCAGTGCTAAAGGAGACCTAAGCTTGATGCAGAAGCCCCAGCCTCAATGTTGGGTCTGAGAAGGAGACACCCACACATGCAAAGACAACTCCCACTTTTGAGGTGTCCTCCTCACGGAAGGAAAGAATTTATTAACTCTTCTTCCCTACTTCAAGCCCAGCTCCGATGATGAAACCAGTGATGGGGAAGGGCCCCAGGTTAGCACAGCTGATCTGGAAGCTCTGATCAGCGGCCGTTACCCAAYCCCACCTGAGGGAGATGGCGAGCCTGGCCCAGTCCCAGAGGCCCTGGATAAGTGGGTCTGTGCACAGCCCTCAAGCCAGAAGATGACCAACCACAACCCACACATCACAGAGAAGCTGGAAGTGCTGGCCAAAGCCTACAGCGTCCAGGGAGATAAGTGGAGGGCTCTGGGTTATGCCAAAGCCATCAATGCCCTCAAGAGCTTCCACAAGCCTGTTAGCTCCTACCAGGTACTTTGGAGGTAGGGTGGTGTTGGCCGGGACATCTTGTCTTTACTAGCCAGGACATCAGGCTTAATGGTTAAGATTTTATGTTTGAGAGACTTTCACAAAGAAACAAAATGGGAAGTGAAAGCAGATTAGCAAAATCTTGAGAATTGTTGAAGGAGGTGATTGGTGCTTGGGGGTTCAATACAGTCTCCTCTCTGTTTTTAAGTTTTGTTTAAAAAGTTTAAAACAAAATTCTAGACTCTGGAGCCTAACAGACCAGGGTTACTAACTGTGTGACAATAGGCAAGTTACTTAAACTTTCAAGCACCAGTTTTCTCAATAATAAAAAGGGATTAATAATAGCAACTCATTCATGGTGCTCTTACGAGGAGGAAATGAGATGGTCCCTGGTGCACAGAAATGATATTCAGTAAGCACTCAGTACATGTTGGCTCTCACTATTGCCACGATGATGATGGTGACTAGTCCTATCATTATTCGCCACTTCTTATCATTGGTCTGTATTCCTCTGGGAACTTAAAGACAAGTTACCCAGCTCATATTCCATCCAAACTTCTCATCTTCAACTGTGCCTAGGCTTTCCACAGCCACACATTTGCCTGGCTGACTTTTCAGCAGACATCTACTAAAGGCRTCTACTTTAACCTACCCCTGGTTCTCCCTAGCTGCTTTCTCAGTCTTCTTCCTTACCTCTGTCCCCATCCTCCTCTAGGAGGCCTGCAGCATCCCTGGGATTGGGAAGCGGATGGCTGAGAAAATCATGGAGATCCTGGAGAGTGGGCATCTGCGGAAACTGGACCACATCAGTGACAGCGTGCCTGTCTTGGAACTCTTTTCCAACATCTGGGGAGCTGGGACCAAGACTGCCCAGATGTGGTACCATCAGGTCAAACCATGGCTCAGCTGCCATTTTAGTATTGCCATGTTTCAGAATTCTGACCTTATAAGTCCCTTTGCCTTGTTACCAGGGGTGACCTGGGTACCATTCTGCTACCCTGTATGCTGACGAGAATGAACTAGACTATAGGGAGGTAACTTCTCAAAGGCATCAGTTCTCTGGGCTGGGGATGTGGCTCAAGCGGTAGCGCGCTCGCCTGGCATGCGTGCGGCCCGGGTTCGATCCTCAGCACCACATACCAACAAAGATGTTGTGTCCGCCGAGAACTAAAAAATAAATATTAAAAAACTTTCTCTCTCTCTCTCTCTCTCCCCTCTCTCACTCTCTCTTTAAAAAAAAAAAAAAAGGCATCAGTTCTCAAATAAGTCCATCTCCTGGCTTCTAGAACAGCCATGAGGCTTGGTATCCTTGTGGTGTTGGTAGGAACAAGAAGTATATTTCTCTGTCCCCCAGAATAGCACGTGCCTTCCTGAGAATTCAGGACGTTCAGAGGAAATGTTCCTAGAAGAGTAKATCCCAAATCTAGCCATGCCCAGAATTATCTGGGGGCATTGGTTACAATGAAGAGGCCCAGGCCCATCCCCAGACCAGTGGTGCCATGAATTAGCATCTCTGGATTATGGCATGTC